ATGGTGAAACATGTTCAGCAGGAGAGTGCTTCTTAACATGCAGCTGCAGTGTTGGTTTCCAGGGAATGAACTCTTGATTTTCCTGCTGCACACCTCGACCTGCTGGGTTTGATATTTGTGAGTGATTGAGTTTCCTTGTTAGCCAGGCGGCAACACACCTCTGAGGAGGAAAAAATCACCCTCAAACCAATAAACGTACAGCTGAAGGACCGGCTCGGTTATCGTAGGAGAGGAATTGAGTCTCTTGCAGATTTATCTTGATGTATAATAGTGGCAATGTTAGTGTCAGTCTGATGGGAATGGAATTACAGAGGAGGAAACTGCAGCAGAATTTGCAGGATTTACAGTACTAGCAGAACGGTATGTCAGATGGGAAATATCAACCTCTCAAACATGTAGAAAATAGGTGATCCAAAAATAAAAGAAATACTGAATCTTTATTTTACTGAATGTATATTAAAACCATTTGCTGCAAAATGAAATAGGCAGATGTGTTTGCTTTGTTTACGTTAACCAAAACACAGAGAGGTACCCTAACTTGCAAAATAAGCCTAGGATGAAGTATTTTCTTTTCTTTTAAATGCCTTGAATGTCTTTCTTTCCATCTTCTGCAGTCAGTGATCTTAATGGTGTATAAATAAATTTGACAATGAAACCGATACTTTTGCAGGCTGTAATAATGGCAACACTTCAAGCATTGCAATTTCACCACAGTCACTGTATTTGCCAACTTTAAATAGTGAATGAATAAATGATGATAAGGTGATTTACAAAAAAGCACAATAACCATGGAACTAAAATAGATCCTTGCAAAGTTAAAAATGCTGAGAAACAGCGTTTTGTGGGTTGTGAGCAGTGAAACACTTGACTCCAGGTGAGAGGAGAGAGTGGAGCAGGGCACTGTGTTAGCCTTTATGATGTTCATTTGCGGTGTGAATTACACTGTTATGCATGTGCAGCCAGCAGCTGTCAGTAAAGCTGTAACACACACACACACACACACACACACACACTGGTCATGCAATTAACACTGTATACAAACTGACACAGATACAATACACAGGAGAACAAATGTAGTATTTTTACACATTGTGTGGCTCAGTAATGAACCTATGATTGAGCTTTTCATGCCTGTTTGAATTCTGACTTGACTGACCCCTCCTGCCCTCCCCACTTTTGCGATGTGTGTGTGTACCAACATGACTATAAATAGGTACAAGGAGCATGTGGCGATGACTGCGTGCTTTGTTCTGTCCCCCTCAGTACCAGAAAGGCTGTTTCATTCTCCTCCTAGCTTTGACGAAGCCTGAGTCTCATAATAGTGCAGATCCACAATCACAAGAAAAACAATGATAGGACGAGTATAAGTACTGATTTTATTTCACCTCTTTATGTTGCCCATAGCAAAATTCCCCATCAGGATACATAGTATTTCCATATATGAAATGGTGTGGCTAGCTTACTAATGCGATCAAAGAGAGGTGTGAGGGACTGATTGTCTGCCACCTGTGTCGACAACAGGTATCTAAATTTACGCTCGCTATCCTTTTTTTTAGGTACTTCTTCCCATCCTGTGCCAGAAAGTGTGTCATGTATAAATAAAATGTGCAGTCAGATTGTAGAAGAGGTGGGGTTACTGATTGATCAAGACGTGATTCAAGTGTTTCATGCATCAGTTCCAGCACGGCTTGGGCACATTATATACTCCTATACGTTACCACCAGGAATCATTTAATAAATAAACACAAAATAAAGTAATAAATTAATAAACAACCAATCTGCAGCAGTTGTGTGTGAAGAAAAAGACTGGTGAATGATGATATAGAGAGTTGATGAAATCGATGAGAGAGGTCACAGGAAAAAAAAGCTAGAGTGATTCAAGTCTGGCCAAAGTATGCTGGCAACACTTCAGTAAAATGCTGTAGTAGGAAGAAGGTCATGTCAGACAAACTACTCGTATATCACTGAATGTTGAAGACAGTGCCATCCAGTAACAAAATGATGAAGCTCAGGTGGCCCCATGACCACCAAGACTAGACAACTAGAACAATTTCCATATTAGTACACAAGTAGCGGTTGAGCAGCATTTGAATGCAGCATAGTGTGCCAAAATGTTTTTGACCAGGTAGATCTCTTTATGTCCTATAAGCCTATACGGCTCTTTGTTTTTGGTTTCCAAAAGAGACTTTTAATGTCTGATCTTGAGAGATGTCTCTGTATTATAGCTTTTGTAGAAATAGATTTTCCACCAGTTTTTTTGTTTCCAAGATATCAAATCACTACACAGATACATTCTCAAATTTAACATTGAGCCCTGTCCATCTTGTATCCCTATGACACCACCATCGCTCTATTAACTAAAGACACTTATAAGACTGTGACTTTAGTTCATCCAGATGTTGTATACATATGTCAACAGAGTGTTGCGGTGGAATGGGATGTTTGCACTATATATCTGGGCTGAAAATATACTTGTGAAACCTTCAAGTCAGCATGAAACAAGATCCCTGTGGAACATTTTCATCACCCTGCTAAATTCGTTTTAGTACAGGTATAGTGTTCCTAGTAACCAGTAATTAATGAGGTTTGCGTATGATGACAGACATATATGGAGCAAAGGACAAATGGTCCACTGACACTGACCTTTGACCTCGATGTATTTCACCATAATTACCATAACCAGCTGTCTTTCCTAAGAAAGTTTTTTTCTCTTATTAAGTCTTGATGTATCTTAACACACCTGGCCATAATTTTCAAACCATTTAATTACATAGTTTGGTGATCTAAACACTGCCTCTCTTGTTTTTGCTTCCATGTTAGCTTACGTGCTACAAGTCAAAGTAGAGATGGAATTGGAGATCCAGCAGTGTGAGAAGACCAAGGCTGTGAGAGAGGAGCAGCTGGAGCGTCTCACTCAGATCTGCCAGGAACAGGCTGTGAGTGCCCAAACACCTTAGACTGAGGAGGAGAAACACAAATCAACACACAACAAACTGTCTACAGCCTCAGTTCTTCATGATGGTCGAAACTACTACCAAACTTTTACAGCCAGATTTTACCCCAAGGAATGGGTGTATAGTACTTAAAAGACAGAAACTGATCAGAATACAACTTTAAAATCAGCTTAGACATTTTCACACACAATTACTGTGGTCATATATTGTGTGTCAGTTGTAAAAGTGTTCCAATTCAATTATAGACGTTTCTCACTCACTGCTTTACAGTCAATTTATAGTCATATAACCATCTTGAACAGTCTGTAGATTTGTCATGGCAAATTGGTTTACTTCACTAATTGTATGTTAAAGGCCACACAAGTCCACATTACACTTGGCCATGTAGGAAACTGTCAGTTCATCTGCCACCAGAAGAGGGCAGCAATACCTCACAAACGTCTCCAGTCTTTCCACACATTTCATGATTCCTCAGATCACACACACTGACGATCCCATACAGGAAAATGCAGACTACAGAAAATATTGATATAGACTTAACCTTCAGTTGACCATTGAAGTTCATGTCTGAGACCAGACATATGTACTGAATAGACATATACAGAATCACATAATGAAAAGATGATCAGATCCTTCCATATTCTTGTTCAATTTGCTCTTAATAAATTTAGGGAGTAGTTTTCCCATAGCATGCTGCATAATATATTTTACACCACAAATTGTGTAAATCATAAACACTGATTGCTATCAGTTTATGTGACATTGTGTTGAAATATATGCAGATCACTTTTCTCTCCCTCCCTTGCTCTCTAACCTTTTCACCTCATCCTGTATCTTTGTCCCTCTGTCTTTCTTTGTTCTCTTTCTTCCTTCCTTCCACGTTTCCCTCTCCTCTTGCTTTCCTCTTTTCTTTCCTGCCCTCTCAATTTATTTTCCATCTCTGTCTTCTTCACTCATCCTTTTAAAAATCCCATTTTACTTCCTCTTTTCCTTCACACTCCCAACATTCTGCTTTTCTCTCTTTTCCTTTGCATACACACCAACCATGTCCAGTTTGAGATCAGGCAACTGAGGGCCCATCTGGCCCAGCAGGACCTGGACCTTGCAGCAGAACGTGAAGCAGCCATGCAGATCCACCACGTATGGGGCAAACAGGGCAGGAGTTTTCAGGTTGTAGAAGGCTTGACTCCTGGTGAGTCTGATGATGAGGGCGGCCAGAGAAACCCCAGGGAGCCTCATGCCTCTTCAGGTACAGTATGGTTTCTAAACAGTTTTTAGGAATTTAGTTGCAAGATACTGGAAATGGGCCTTAAAACTGTTCTGGTGAAAACACCGTTATCATTTGAGTTGGTTGCTGGACAAGTTCAGCATGTATTTATATATGTATGAGTCTAGTGACACCTAAATGTAAAGTGATTAGGTTTGTAAACTGTGAAATTAAGCATTATAGCGGAACTGTAAAGAACATAAGAAAGGAAACTAAAATGTTTAATCTATAATCCCCTTTGATGCGTTGAGTTTAATGCAGTAAGTTATAATTACATGTAAAGTACTGTTTCATAAAACTGGAAATGGATGAAAAGCTGGCGGCATTAAACTTAGCTAATTTGAATACACACCATGCCAGGTGCAGTGTTTGCTTGAGAAAGCAGGATGACAAACCAGGAGAGAGGAGCAACATAGAGTATGTACATAATTATGTGGAACAAAAAGTCTCTAACGGTGTAACATCAGGTGAACTGGATGCCAGAGCAGTGTACAGTTAATCTGGAGCAGTAGCCCTGGAGCTTCTTCGAGGCCAGGCTCTTAGTCACTCCACGCTCGCACATAACACCCATCTGACCGGAGGCGCTCTGGGATCAATATGAGGGCAAAAAAGCTTTTAGGATCTGGTGAATCCTGAAGAAAATGAGCCTGTTCTCTGACACTACGTCAGCTTCCATGGGCTTCTGTTATGCCCCAACTATCTCTCTTACCGCTCCCCTCGTGGCAAGGCCATCCTGGCCAACCCGGACCACTTGGGCTATTTCAGGTACAGAGTGCTCTGTGCATTGGGCCTTGTTTGGAGAGAGTGGGCTCCTGTCAACATCTGTTCCCCTTCACCTGCAAACCACAATAGGGCATCGTGAGGCTCTGCGGCAGCCACAATATTAGCCCCAGGGCATAGTGGGAAATCTGGCTCTCAGAAACAAGTGGGGCTTTTTACAGAAACATGGTCACTGGACACTTAGGCCACAGGGCTCAAGTCAGATCAGGTCAACTCAAATCAAGTTTATTTGTTCTACTCAATACTGCACACACATTCTCAATGGGCTTCTCTCACGCTCACCTGCAGAGTGCTATAAAACTACCAAGAACTTTATCAAGGTAGTGGCCTTCATGAGATGGAATGACCCAGGAGATAAAGGGCTTTGCCAGCTTAAAGTACCAAGCCAGGTAGAATTTCAGAACATCCAGTGACAATCAGCATTAATCAATGAGCCAGTGGAGTTTTCTCTCAGATGCCGAGGGAGGATTGTAGTAGCAGAGCACACAGTACTAGTACTATAACAATAGAGTGCAGAAAAAGAAAGATAAGCATTTATTTGGAAGGAACATTTAAAATGACCCTACTGTATCTATCAAATTGTCTAAACAAAACAAGATGCACTTCATTGGCTTTGTAAGGCTTTAATACAGCCTTGCTTTGCGCTAAATGCTAACTTCAGTGTGCCAACATGCTCACAATGTCAATGCTACCATGCTGACGTTAAGCAGGTATAATATTTTATTTTTACATCTTATTTTAGTGTGTTAGCATGCCAACATTTGCTAATTTACACCAAAGTACAGCTGAAGTTGATGGCAATGTTATTCATTTTGCAAGTATTGAGTCCTAAAATGCCACTAAAAATGGCTAAAAAGCTTATTATGCTACATATATAAATCTTCCAAACTGTGAAACTATCAAAGTACATTTCTTTTAAACTAAAAAAGAAATTGCCTGTTCACTTTTTTATCTTCTTTATCTGTATTAACAGTAGCTGCAGTCGCTGCTAATCCTCCTGGGGTCAACACTCATACCACTTCACCTGTGGTATAGAACTGATACTTCACCCATCAAAACAAGCAGCGAATAGTTTAGATTTGAACTAAAAGGACCTCAGCATGTCACCTCTCTTTTTCCACAGACAGATGACAGCCTAGCAACTTGACTGTCACAGAAAGAAGAGGAGAGACTTTTATGTATGCTGGACAGCCCATTCTTTTTTTCTTTAGACTCATGTGTTATTAATTGTGGAGTGATTGTCTCAGTCTTGTTTTAGTGAGTGCAATGCTTCCTCTCCAGGGGTGGCTCATGGATTAATATTTTAGTCTGAAAAATAAATGAAATTACCCATCAGAGTCTGCAGCATGTCCCAGGGGATATGGGCTAGCACTCAGGGTACTCTGGGTTCGCACTCAGCCAGCGGACAGTGAGCTCAAGACCAATCAAGCGAAGCGAAGCGAGCATAGCAGATCACGGCCATTCACCACGCACACTGAGGCCTGCTACACTGGAGGGATCTGTGCATGAACAAAGAGATCCACTATATCTCTCTCATTTCCCCCAATGTCTTGCATCCCTGAAACCAACCCCACCCTGTCTCTGTCCCAGTTTATTTCTGGTGCACTAGGGTGCAGTTAATGCACAGCATAGCAGGACGTGATCCTGACCACTTGCCAATAAAGCACCTGTGGCCTAAGGCACAAGTCATCTCTGTCACTATTATGTTGGAAATATAAGAAATATTTTCCATTTGGACTAGTTTTGCACTGTTAACACTGAAATGGACCAAAGTAACTACAGAAAGGTATAAAATCTAATTACATTCACTGCCACACCGAGTATTAGTAACATGAGCTGGTCACATATTAAACCCTAATTTCACTGGTCGCTTCTTGCTATCTAATTACCTAAGTCTAAACAGTATTTAATATATTTTGTCTGTGTGTAACCCAAAATTGCAACAACAGACTTTGAAAATTGTGAGAGCTATGTAGTAATAGTAGTGACAACATGCATTTTACATATAGTATATAATAGAAACTGGATATCAGAGGTTATGAAACATTACAGGACAGACCAGAGCAAGCACAGCAACACATTACTTTACCACAGGTTTACTGACCATTGGAAACAGTAATGGGGATATTGAGCATCCTTGTTTAGATTCATGGTATGGCAAATTAGACTTAGAACTTACTGCAGACTACAGTTATTGTATTTAGACATTAGAACATGAAACAGAATAATATACATGCTTGCTCCAGAGATGAGTTATTTTTTAAATACATAAATTACATTAACATCACACACAATAGCAACACATTTAGGTGTGTTTTTGCTGAAATAAATATGATCAAGTCCTTTATTTATTTATCTTATTTTTAACTCAGATCGAGTGGTACGTGATGACATGAACAACTACATCAGTCAATACTACAGTGAAGCAAGCAGTGGTAAGTGACTGTGAACACTGACTTTATTATACACCACTCTGTGTACACAGCTCTTTACAAGTCATTTTGAGGGGTTATAAGGTTGCTAAGTTATATGTCATGGACCAAAACCTCATTGATTTGGTCATAGATTTGGCTGAACATATAAAACATTTGGTGAAGCAGTTGTAGTTTCCTGCTGGACAGGCATTGCATATAGTCTGAGGAGAGCTTGAAATCTTCAAATATTTAAAAAATAAGTATATATTTAAATGCAAACTAAAAACTTTAGTAATTTAATTCCTTAAAACTGAACTTGTGATGTACAATGATATTAAACACTCTAAATGTACTGTACTCCAAGTCTGCTATAGACAAAATTAGGAAATCTTGTGAGTAAATATCTCACCCTTACCACAGACAGCAGCATAATTCATCCACAGGTTTTAAAGTTTTGTCCATGTGGCTGACAGAAAGTATACTGTTGTGCACTTGCTGTGTGTAAATTCATTTGTTTAAGTTGTTTCATCTGTGTTGTCCGACCTTCTCTAAATGCATACAATGTCTTTCAAGATGCTGGAGCTTCTGGCTTAGGTGCCCGGGTCATCACCACGGCAGCCATTGATGTTCACCTCCCTACCAATCAAATTCCCATTCAGTCAAACACAATGCTTTCTATAGAGCAGGTGGGCATCACCGTAAGTGACGCCTCAACCAGCATATCACGGTCCAGTGGCAGCCTGACTGCTCGCCCCCACAGCCTGAGTAGCCACACCCCGGGTTCGTCTATGACAGACTGCAGCAGCAGCACAGCTCAGGACCTCAGTCTGTGCTACAGCTCCCATCGCTGCTGCCCTCCTTCCTTCGCAGGCCAGGATGCCTGCAGGGACCCCAGCATGGTGGTGCAGGAGCTACTCTGCTCCCTCTCTGAGGACTCCTGCCTTGCCGAAAAGGGCCTGGCAGTGGACCCTGTCAACCTTAAGCTTCCCAGTCCTACTGGCTCAGAAAAGTCCAGCCCCGAGCTGGAGAACAGAATAAACTTATTCAACCGCAGGAACCAAGAGGAAAGTCGAGGCCGGGGAAGGGGTTGTGTACTGCTGCAGACCAAACCACTGATCCACCTGCAGGGCAGCACCACCGAGCGGTCCCTGGAGGAGAAGTACCGGCTTTTAGGACCAGCTGACACACCTCTGGGGCGCATGCCTGACACATAAGCTACATTTACACAGAAACAGAAGTCTTTTCTTCTTTTTACTCCCACCCTGTTTGGCATATATATGAACTCTTGTGGCAGGTCAAACCTCATCTTGTGGCAGGTCAAACCTCATTAGCGGGACCACATAAGATTTAAAAATGGGATTTTTCTGTCGCTGTGTGAATCCAATCTTAGCCAATCCAGAGCAAGCTTGAGCTTTAGCTTCCAGCTAACACTGATGCTCCTTAACTTGACATGTTCAGAAGTCAATAGTAGAAATGACAATAAGAACTCTTAGGCCCTTTGCCATACTGTCCCACCTCCCCTGTTCCTCCTTGATGGATCTCTGAAATCAGAAATAACCTGATATAGCACAACAAAGACTATAACATCCCATTAAAGGGGAGTCTAATGTGTTCTTGGACACATTCTTCATCAGGAATTCTCACTTTGAATAGGTCCTAAATGCACTGAACTTCACATGAATTAAAACCAGCAAGGGGCCATTCAAGCCTATACTGAACAAAAACTTTAATTCTGAACAGTGTTGCAAACCAACACACTGTTCTCTGTTCTTGGAATTTCAAGCAGTTAAAATGAGTGTTTTCTAATGCATTTGTTATTTTGTTTCTTTTAATTTTTATGATCAACTTTAAACATCAGTCATGCTGTTCTTTGTTCAAACAGCCGCAGGGTACATACGACTGGCTTAACTATACAAGCAGCAAATATTTTTATTTCCTTTGCCACCTATTTGTTTGATTTGAAACCATGGGCCGTCATCAACTTTATTGAATTGCATCTTTGTTTTACTTGTTCAAAAACATTAGTAGAGTGTATTTGTGTGGATGAAATGAAAAGGTAAGTGACTGGATTCTTCACATGAAATTAGATTGGAGTGTTTGTAGCATGAACCTTTAAAAGAAATGTGCCCTAAATGGCAAGCAAATTCTTTGCACTTTAATGTTTACAGACACTTTTGTAAACTTGATATGGAGGAAGTTATTGCCTAATGCAGGTGTTGTCATTTGAATGAAAATAGCAAAAATAAAAGTTAGTATTTCCTTAACTGTTTTCAGTTTACTGACTCTTATATAAAGCTATGCCAAAGATAAGACATTAAATGGCAAACAGTGGCAGATAGAGTTGGCTCTTCAGATATGTTCTTCTGACAGGCCCCTTGTTACACACTGCACTGTACAACATCATTTCATTAGCATAATCTCCTTATGTGCATGTGATTTAGAAAAATCTAAATTATTTAAAGTTATTAACATCCGAAGACCTGTCAAAACAACCGCTAATTGTTCACGTCATTGTAAGTGTGTCATAAGAGACATCAACCCCCCTAATTACCGTCTGATATCATTAATTCAGAAGATAAACTGCTGTACCATTTTGTTGCTTGTCAAATGTTTACACGTATCCAGAGAATGTTTTAATTGTT